TGTTCGTGGAGTCACAACGCGGGCATTTGAGTTGTTCTTGTTCGGGAAACTGAGGGTGCTTCAAACCTTGAAATGCTGTCGGATCTTGCATCCTAGAAGAACCTGAATTTTACCACTAAATGTGTTCAGAATGGTGCTATGCTGAGAAACGAGTAAATGGTTGGTTTGTGCAGAAAGATCCAGATTAACCTAAAAAAAAAAAGAAAAAAAAATGTTCTTTGTTAAGTGGCAAAAAGGAATTGAATTGAATTGAAGCACCAATGAGGAGAAAGTGGGAACACGACAAAAAGGTTGGATATGCTTTTGTTTGAGGTGTAGTGTAACAAAAAGCTTCAATCTAGAAGCAATTTCAGGGAGTTAGTTTGTTTTATAGGTCACATAGGAACATAGAATAAGAACCAAATGCAGAGACAGCAAATTGAAGTTTTTGTGTGGTAGTGATGAGAACAGAACAAAGATTAACAAAAGATGAAACATGTAAGAGGAAACGGTGAAGTGAGAGATGTGTGATATTCGGTGGCAGAAAATGTTGACAAAGATGAAGATGAGCTATCTTTCTGTTCTGTCACTCTGTTTATCCGCGTGGAAGTGACCACAAGCTTCCAACTCAAATACAATCACAATAAAAATGTTAATTAAGTTAATACTAATACTATGTAAGAAAGTAGAATAGATTTTTTCAATTAAGTTAATTAATTCAATTAAACCACCAACAACTATAAAAACCTGATTTAATTTAATTATTTATGGTATTAATAAATTAATAAATAAAAATAATAATACAATAATTAGAGAAGGGCGATGAGTGGGCCAGGGGAAGGTGGCGTGCGAAGAAAGCAAAGGGATATGATGGTGTCTGTTGAGAAGATCTGAGCCGTTGAATGAAGAGGGATCTATGGATTGTTGCGTTGCGTCGAGTTAGCGTCACCCCCCAGCTCAGCGTGGCGAGAGTCACCCGCAACACGTGGCGAAACCCCCCAGTGAGTGGAGAGTGTGAACGTGCTTCGTAGGAATGGTTTTGTCGTTTTGTAATGATGATGTGGTGATGACGTGGAATGAAGTTCGGTCTCTCTCTCTCAGGTGCATGTTCTCGTCTCATGTGCGTACGTGGATCACAAGTTTCTTACCTAAGCAATGTCAAATTCTTGAAATTTAAAAAAAAAATAAAAAAATTAATTCGATCCAACATTATTAATTGCTGAAAACACAGTATTTGTAGAAAAATAATTAAAAAAATTTACAAATTTAAAAATAAGACATGAATTAAATGTTTGTTTGAAAATTATAAAATAAATAGGAAGAAAAGTTTAACGAAAATTGAAGAAATGTTTATATAATTTACTGTTTTACTGGCTTAATTTAATAGTAATAATAAAGAATTAGAGTGGAAATTAAATTAACACTTTATGTTGATGAGTGATAGTCTAATATATTTACAATAAGGTGAATAACTTAATAAGATGTGACGCTCGAATTTAATGCTACATACCTATTATCATGCTATTGAATGGGTTAGATACTTGATCGAATTCATTAGTACCAAAAAAGAAGGTTAATTATATCAAAGATGGTGTAACGATTAAATGTAGAGGGGCGAAATTATATGTCAATAATATAAGTTTAAATATGAATACTCCATTTTTGTGCTCAAAACAAGACCGAAATTACAATACACGTAGCGTTCTACGTGATAAACTTTATTATACCGTATAATTAATGTAGTTTGTCCCATATTCAGTTCATGCAAGAGATTAGATTGTTTTGAAAACGTAACTACGTCTTTTTAATTAATGTTTATAAACCTTTCTTAAATAACTAATAAAGGTATCTGGTTTTTCCAAAATAAGTTATACTAAATATGTGAAAAATGCTTATTAATAAGGGTTGTATTATATACACTATGATCTAATAATAAAACTTTAGGAATGAAAAATTGATTAATTTTTACAATAATATCTTAATAATATTTGAGCAAAAAAAAAACTCAAATTTCATGTCCATTAACGATAAGAAACAACGTGTCTAAGCGAAAAGAATTATGTGCGAGCTTCAAAATCAACTAATGATAAGAACAAAATAAATAAATAAATAAATATAGATAGACAGATAACAACCTTCTTCATTTTTCAAGATTGTGATAGTTCCAAACTTCTTATATATAAGTTGCTATTAAACTTTATTATAAATTATTAAAAAAGCAATCTATCATATTTTCACAGCAAACTTAATAACATGGACGTGGAAAATTTGTTTGGGGAATACAAAATCAAACAGTACATATATATAAGTGAGAAATAACGGTTACTTTAGATTTTTTTTAATTAAATATTAGATCTAAATTCTAAAGAAGTTCGATGATAATCAATCGATTGACAATATGAAACTCCTACCAGGATAAATTATTATGAATGTGAAATATTTACCAAAATTTTCAACAATTAATTTTTATTAAACAGTCTGAGTAATTATTTGTATGGAAATTTCTTTCTCAAAATCCAAAAAGAAAATGGTATATAATGTTAAATTTAATAGTATTTTGTTAAAAAAAGGAATATTATAAAAATGATTATTAGTTATGGGACCAGTGATAGTGATTTTGATTGAATTAGTTAGGGTATGGTGAAGAGATAGGTGGTTGAAATAATGGATTGGGTTGAGCAATAGGAAGGGTGTGGAGCCATGTTTTAATGAAAAATAATGGAAGTGATGAAATGGAAGAAGGATTGGGTAATGAAGAGAAACACAATTTTAGGGTTAGGGTTGCAGTGGATGGAGAATGATGGTGATGATTATTATCTGAGCAAAACGTGCTGGTTATGATTTCATGAATGTGATCCTCTTCACACAACTTCATCATCACCCTCTCGCAATCCAAAATCATCTCCATCTTTATATTCAACAAAAAATGAACAAAATTATGAACTAATTCTCTTTATTTATGCATATACATACAAAGTGCATTCAGATACTAAACGAGAGATGTAAAAATTTATAATATGTGATACAAAGGATTAATACAATAGTGCTTTTATCAGTGAAAGTGATTATTTGAACATGTGATTTGAATGGTCTTAAGTTTCTGATACGTACTTTTAAAGGTTGAAACATGTGCAAAGGATTAATACAATAGTGTTATTGGGTCCTGTGATTATTTGATTTGAATGGTTTAAGTTAATGACATGTATTATTAAAGGTTGAAACATGAAGATGTAAAATTTTACATAAACACAATTGTGTTTTTATCCGGATCTTGAACATGGTTCTTTAGAGAGGTGGTGTGATTTAAATGACCTTAAATTTCTAATATGTATACTCGAAGGTTGAAACATAAGGAAAATTCACCTGCAAAAGACTCTTTATTGTTTAAATTAGTAAGAAAGCTTAGATTTATGAGTGAAAATAAGAGTATCTATGAAATTGAGTTATAGCTTTTCCTAGAGAGTACTTGTTGTATTTATAAGATTAATATGTGTAGAGTTATGTTGAAATATCACTGAAATAATACTTATCAAATAAATAATAATAATAAAGTGATACATTATCATGAATAATAACCATAATATTAAATTAGCAAGATTAGTTAGGATTGTTATTAATATGCGAATATTTTTTCAATAGATGTATTTTGGGTTATTTCAAGATGAATATTTTTTGCTTATTATCTATTTTGGTCCCTCGATTCGTAACGTTTGTTCAAAGTGATCCAACCTTTTATAAAAAGTTCAAAATGTGTAAAAATGGTTAGTTGATATTTATCTACGTCATTAAATTTTATTTTTAAAATTTACATCTCAATTGAGCTCAGCGTGCCAGGCAATCAATAATTGCATAAGTCATTCAGTTTTGGTCAGGAGGCAATTACACCATTAACGTTTTTAACTACCTAAGAAAAAGGACTAATTTGAACTGTTTTTACAGAATATGAGATGTTTGTGAACATTTGAAAAAAGAAAGGACCACTTTGAACAAACTTAACAAACTAAGAGACCAAAATATGTATCAAACCAATAAATAATAGATATTAATATGTATTTAAATTATTAATAATATATTAAAATATTGTTATAACTTGTTTGGTTAGAAACCTTGTGTTGGAAGGTGATGTCTTAAGTTCTAGTCGTATCTATAATGTTTTGATAGAATTGCGGAGAGTAATATTAAATCCTATAAAAATGGTAAGTGGGATAAATAAAAGTGGTGGCTTAGATAGTACGAGTTTGTGGTGATAGGAATGTCATAGGTTTAACTCACAGTTTGTAGTCACTTAGAAATGTGAGTGTCGTGATAAAATTTCTTAAATCAAGATAAGGAGAGTTAACTAGTTTTTTTTCTTCTTTTCTTATGGCATTTACTTAGTAGTTTTATTTGGATTAAATTATATATTTGTGTTTTGGTTAGATGAAACTCAGTGTAATATTTTATTATATGGTTAGATAATATACCACCAGTGAATTGTTTTCATTATATAGTTTACATACAATTCAACATAATAATGTTTGAATGTATGTTACAAATAAAAATTTAGGAGTGATCATAAATTAGTATTTTATTTTGAATTAAATATTATAAAATTTATATATTCTAAAAGTTAACAAGTTTGGAAATTATAGTTTTGTTTTTCAATTATATATGTATTTAAGGATTTAAAGTTAACATAATATATATTTTTGGATATAAACAATTACACTTATAATTATTTTATATATGTTATAAAAATATAGTTTAATAATAAATATTAATAAATAAATAAATAGATGAAAGCTTATGTTTTATGCCGAGTTTGGAAGTACGCGGGTCTTCTTTTCAAAAGTTAGGCCGAAGTCAGAGATAGACTTCTCATTCTGTAGACAGATCAACTTTTGAAGTTCGATCTGCCTAATATTGAACGCGTAAAGCTTCAATCTTCGTGCGGATTTTGACTATGGCACCAACCATTCCCAATGCGAATGCACGTAAAGCTCTCATTGTCTAATAACATATGGCTGTCTATCTAACCATAGTAACCGATACATGGAGAAACAACTATTTATTGTCACATACAAATGATCATTGTCTTTTACTTTTTCTGACATGATAAATATAACCTTGCTAAATGTTTTTATCTAGAATTTCCAACTTGTCGGCACCAGGCTTGTCAAGTTCTTCTAAAGCTGCCCACAATTTTGGATCCTCATAATCCTTTATCAGAAAGGCAGGCTTTGCTTTCATGAGTAAATCCTCTGGGTTTCGTGAAGCTATCCCAATAACAGGCATCCCAGCTGCCACTCCAGCCGTAATCCCTGAAAAAGAATCCTATTACAGAAAAATACAAAGTATGTCAAAAGCAGGTCTAGAACAACTTCTTTTGTCAGACATCACAAAAATGCAGAGACCTCAAATACAAATGCATGATCCTTCGATGCCTTCAGAACTTCAAGAGCTTTCAAGTAGGGATCCGGATGAGGTTTACCACGTTCACATTCATCACCAATGATAAGAACATCAAAGAAGTCCGAGAGACCAAGTTTTGAGATCATGAGTTCTGCATTTACTCTTGGAGAATTCGTAACTGCAGCTCTCTTCAGACCACGCTTTTCAACCCATGTTCTCATTTTATCAAGGCCTTTCACAGGCTTCAGTTGCTCTCTCGCCAATCTGGACAGTCCATATATAAGAGAGTTATCTTCTGAAGCTTCGAATGAACCACATGGAGGAAGGGTATACTCATAGAGAGAGCAGGGTTTACCTCTGGAACATGGCTTCCTTTTCTTCTACAAACTTCAAACCTTGTTCCAGATCATCGGGAAAGGCAACTAAGGCAGTATCAACGTTGTTCTTGCCAGAAAATTTTTCAACAAAAAATTCCTCCGTTATGGGAACACCTCCGTTAAAACCAATCTGACAACCACCAAGGTTCGTGTTAGTTTACTAATGATCATGTGCTTGTGATGGTGATTTGCAAATACCACAAAAGGATTATTGCAACAAAATAACTAAAATTATTTTCCATTGAGAATTTTATACTAAGAAAAGAAGAAGAACCTTTAGGAGCATTTCACGCAAAGCTTCGTAGTGGAGTGGATCAGAGTCACAGAGTGTTCCATCAACATCAAAGAGCACAGCTTCAAGTGAAGCAAGTCCGGTGAGAGAACTCATGCTGCTAGTACAACAAGAAGGTAATGAGAGACAAGTTCAGCAAATGCTCAGGAATTGGCTGTGTGCTAAATTTTCTTTTTCTATCACAAAGCAAGCCACAAACTAACTACTCTAAGGCTTGAATTGTTGCATACTGCCACCTGAATGGTTTATAGATTTGACATGCCTCCTCATGCTTGATCCCTTTTGACTTAAAACAAACACAATATATTGCAGAAAATATAATAAAACTAAAGTAAAAATCCACAATTTTGCTTGAAAACAAAAAGGGTGTGGGTAGTGATGCCTCCACATAATATGAAAGAGGCAATGCTTAATGAACACCACATCAATGAAGATCTGTTAAAGTGTTACAAATGGAAGAGATTTACAGAGTAAATTCGGAATAAATTGCTGAGACAAAATTGAATAAGAGAAGCTACTGCATATTATCAGAAAAAAATGTTTCACAATTAAAACAAGTTCACCCAACACAAAAAATGACCCAAGACTTGCTTTTGTGCCCACATTTACTCAGTAGTTACTAAACTATTACAGGCACTAAACCATGAAACAATTCATTATAATTTAGAAAGACAATAAATAATAACAAAAACTCGTCAAACAGAGACAAACTTCTCAAACTCTTAACAGGGTTTGTGAATAATGGAAGGTAACAACATGCGTGAAAACGAACATACATGAAGAAAACAACAGTGTCCTTGAAATTCGAAAAGGAATCGTAGCTGCTAGAACAACATGAGCTACGTTGCAAGTGATAGAAGGAAGCACCTTGGGAGGCAATGCAAAGAAGAAGGTTTGGTGAATGTTTGTGCGAGATTTGTTTTGGTGCAGCCAAGGTGAGGTTTTGTAGATGGACAAAATTTTACCACCGAAGGTGAAACGTAGTTAGGGGAGCATGGGATTCTCAAATGGGTCATGGATAACGAAGTCCAAGGGTGTGTGGTATGCAGAAAAAGAAAAGATTGTTACTTCAAGATAAGAAGCATGGTACACCGTCAGAGGTAACATGTCGTTTTTGTATTATGTCGGGGCAATGATAGTTTGACAAATGTTTTTTACAATATCACATGTCATTTTTGTATTGATATATCAGTATAATATCAAATAAATAATAAATCGGTGAAAGAATAATACATATATTATATCAAAATTTGTAAAAATAAATTGTCAAATTATTCTTTTCCATTTTGTTGTTTCACGTCTTCCAAACAGGCAGAGATAGTAAGTTAAAAGAAAAAACATCTCAACCACGACAAGTCCCNCTATTTTGGTCCCTCGATTCGTAACGTTTGTTCAAAGTGATCCAACCTTTTATAAAAAGTTCAAAATGTGTAAAAATGGTTAGTTGATATTTATCTACGTCATTAAATTTTATTTTTAAAATTTACATCTCAATTGAGCTCAGCGTGCCAGGCAATCAATAATTGCATAAGTCATTCAGTTTTGGTCAGGAGGCAATTACACCATTAACGTTTTTAACTACCTAAGAAAAAGGACTAATTTGAACTGTTTTTACAGAATATGAGATGTTTGTGAACATTTGAAAAAAGAAAGGACCACTTTGAACAAACTTAACAAACTGAGGGACCGAAATATGTATTAAACCAATAAATAATAGATATTAATATGTATTTAAATTATTAATAATATATTAAAATATTGTTATAACTTGTTTGGTTAGAAACCTTGTGTTGGAAGGTGATGTCTTAAGTTCTAGTCGTATCTATAATGTTTTGATAGAATTGCGGAGAGTAATATTAAATCCTATAAAAATGGTAAGTGGGATAAATAAAAGTGGTGGCTTAGATAGTACGAGTTTGTGGTGATAGGAATGTCATAGGTTTAACTCACAGTTTGTAGTCACTTAGAAATGTGAGTGTCGTGATAAAATTTCTTAAATCAAGATAAGGAGAGTTAACTAGTTTTTTTTCTTCTTTTCTTATGGCATTTACTTAGTAGTTTTATTTGGATTAAATTATATATTTGTGTTTTGGTTAGATGAAACTCAGTGTAATATTTTATTATATGGTTAGATAATATACCACCAGTGAATTGTTTTCATTATATAGTTTACATACAATTCAACATAATAATGTTTGAATGTATGTTACAAATAAAAATTTAGGAGTGATCATAAATTAGTATTTTATTTTGAAATAAATATTATAAAATTTATATATTCTAAAAGTTAACAAGTTTGGAAATTATAGTTTTGTTTTTCAATTATATATGTATTTAAGGATTTAAAGTTAAAATAATATATATTTTTGGATATAAACAATTACACTTATAATTATTTTATATATGTTATAAAAATATAGTTTAATAATAAATATTAATAAATAAATAAATAGATGAAAGCTTATGATTTATGCCGAGTTTGGAAGTACGCGGGTCTTCTTTTCAAAAGTTAGGCCGAAGTCAGAGATAGACTTCTCATTCTGTAGACAGATCAACTTTTGAAGTTCGATCTGCCTAATATTGAACGCGTAAAGCTTCAATCTTCGTGCGGATTTTGACTATGGCACCAACCATTCCCAATGCGAATGCACGTAAAGCTCTCATTGTCTAATAACATATGGCTGTCTATCTAACCATAGTAACCGATACATGGAGAAACAACTATTTATTGTCACATACAAATGATCATTGTCTTTTACTTTTTCTGACATGATAAATATAACCTTGCTAAATGTTTTTATCTAGAATTTCCAACTTGTCGGCACCAGGCTTGTCAAGTTCTTCTAAAGCTGCCCACAATTTTGGATCCTCATAATCCTTTATCAGAAAGGCAGGCTTTGCTTTCATGAGTAAATCCTCTGGGTTTCGTGAAGCTATCCCAATAACAGGCATCCCAGCTGCCACTCCAGCCGTAATCCCTGAAAAAGAATCCTATTACAGAAAAATACAAAGTATGTCAAAAGCAGGTCTAGAACAACTTCTTTTGTCAGACATCACAAAAATGCAGAGACCTCAAATACAAATGCATGATCCTTCGATGCCTTCAGAACTTCAAGAGCTTTCAAGTAGGGATCCGGATGAGGTTTACCACGTTCACATTCATCACCAATGATAAGAACATCAAAGAAATCTGAGAGACCAAGTTTTGAGATCATGAGTTCTGCATTTACTCTTGGAGAATTCGTAACTGCAGCTCTCTTCAGACCACGCTTTTCAACCCATGTTCTCATTTTATCAAGGCCTTTCACAGGCTTCAGTTGCTCTCTCGCCAATCTGGACAGTCCATATATAAGAGAGTTATCTTCTGAAGCTTCGAATGAACCACATGGAGGAAGGGTATACAATAGAGAGATCAGGGTTTACCTCTGGAACATGGCTTCCTTTTCTTGTACAAACTTCAAACCTTGTTCCAGATCATCAGGAAAGGCAACTAAGGCAGTATCAACGTTGTTCTTGCCAGAAAACTTTTCAACAAAAAATTCCTCCGTTATGGGAACACCTCCATTAAAACCAATCTGACAACCACCAAGGTTCGTGTTAGTTTACTAATGATCATGTGCTTGTGATGGTGATTTGCAAATACCACAAAAGGATTATTGCAACAAAATAACTAAAATTATTTTCCATTGAGAATTTTATACTAAGAGAAGAAGAAGAACCTTTAGGAGCATTTCACGCAAAGCTTCGTAGTGGAGTGGATCAGAGTCACAGAGTGTTCCATCAACATCAAAGAGCACAGCTTCAAGTGAAGCAAGTCCGGTGAGAGAACTCATGCTGCTAGTACAACAAGAAGGTAATGAGAGACAAGTTCAGCAAATGCTCAGGAATTGGCTGTGTGCTAAATTTTCTTTTTCTATCACAAAGCAAGCCACAAACTAACTACTCTAAGGCTTGAATTGTTGCATACTGCCACCTGAATGGTTTATAGATTTGACATGCCTCCTCATGCTTGATCCCTTTTGACTTAAAACAAACACAATATATTGCAGAAAATATAATAAAACTAAAGTAAAAATCCACAATTTTGCTTGAAAACAAAAAGGGTGTGGGTAGTGATGCCTCCACATAATATGAAAGAGGCAATGCTTAATGAACACCACATCAATGAAGATCTGTTAAAGTGTTACTAATGGAAGAGATTTACAGAGTAAATTCGGAATAAATTGCTGAGACAAAATTGAATAAGAGAAGCTACTGCATATTATCAGAAAAAAATGTTTCACAATTAAAACAAGTTCACCCAACACAAAAAATGACCCAAGACTTGCTTTTGTGCCCACATTTACTCAGTAGTTACTAAACTATTACAGGCACTAAACCATGAAACAATTCATTATAATTTAGAAAGACAATAAATAATAACAAAAACTCGTCAAACAGAGACAAACTTCTCAAACTCTTAACAGGGTTTGTGAATAATGGAAGGTAACAACATGCGTGAAAACGAACATACATGAAGAAAACAACAGTGTCCTTGAAATTCGAAAAGGAATCGTAGCTGCTAGAACAACATGAGCTACGTTGCAAGTGATAGAAGGAAGCACCTTGGGAGGCAATGCAAAGAAGAAGGTTTGGTGAATGTTTGTGCGAGATTTGTTTTGGTGCAGCCAAGGTGAGGTTTTGTAGATGGACAAAATTTTACCACCGAAGGTGAAACGTAGTTAGGGGAGCATGGGATTCTCAAATGGGTCATGGATAACGAAGTCCAAGGGTGTGTGGTATGCAGAGAAAGAAAAGATTGTTACTTCAAGATAAGAAGCATGGTACATCGTCAGAGGTAACATGTCGTTTTTGTATTATGTCGGGGCAATGATAGTTTGACAAATGTTTTTTTACAATATCACGTGTCATTTTTGTATTGATATATCAGTATAATATCAAATAAATAATAAATCGGTGAAAGAATAATACATATATTATATCAAAATTTGTAAAAATAATTTGTCAAATTATTCTTTTCCATTTTGTTGTTTCACGTCTTCCAAACAGGCAGAGATAGTAAGTTAAAAGAAAAAACATCTCAACCACGACAAGTCCCACATTGACTAGTTTGTTAAAATTATCTTGCTTTATATATGACTTTTAGCCCCTAAGTAATGTGTTCGTTAAAAGGAGAGATGGTTGGCATCTCCCCTGACAGGGACGGGAACAGCCTTCGGGCTTTCCTATACACATCGGTTAAGGCTACCCACCTTTGGTGGATCTATAACCAAATTTTTTTGTATTATGT